CTCTTTTAATAATACAATTTAGTGAGCTTTGACAGATGTCTTCAGTAGAGTAGCCACCACCACTGTCAAGGTAGAAAACATATTCCAAGTTCCTTCATGTCCTTTTGCAAACAGTCCCTACCCCTAGCTGCTAGCAGCCGCCAATCTAATTTCTCTCTCTGTAGTTTTGTTTTCTAGAATATCATACGTGTAACTATCTAGTTGCGTAACCTTTCATCACCCCAAAGGAAACTAACATACTAAGCATCCATTCCATATCTGCACTCTTCTCCATGCCACCCTGCAACTAGGTACCAATTTCTGTCCTTATGTATACACCTATTCTGGGTGTTTCATGTACGTGGAGTAGTACAATGTGTGACTATATGTCTTGCTTATTTCATTTGTGTTTCCATGTTACAGCATCTGTCATTACTTTATTATTTTCTATATTCAAGTAATAGTTCATTATATGGATGCACTGCATTTTGTTTAATCATCCATCAGTTAATGGATATTTAGATTTCCATCTTTTGGCCAAGGCTTACTTTTGTGTGGATTATTTCATTAGGTTCCCAGAAGAACTCAGTAAGGAAGGTCGTAATAGCACGTTGATGGTATGGCTGGATATACTGAGGCATTGGTTGGTTCTGTGACTAGTAAAAGCCACAAGAGTGTTGCCCTGATTGGAGTCTGTGCGGCAAGCCTGAAGCCCAAGTTCATCAAGTGGGCAAGGTGAAGCTGGTTTCAAGTGATTAAAAATATGAGGATTTAGGAATGAAACAGCTCCGCCACTTCCTACACTGAAGATGTGCATGTGCGCGTGTGTGTACCGGGAACTTGTGGGGAGAGCTGGTGCTCAGGCAGGCTTGCTGTTGGGCATTTGTGAAGAGGGGCTGGGGTAAGATTCATACAGAATCCCACGGGTGCATCGCACTTCAGGGTAGGCTGCCTCTCTAATCAGTCTTCAGAACCTTTTCGCGCAGTCAGAGTGGAGCCCAGTCATTCTGAACACTCACACAGTTTGTGTTGTGCTCTTCTGTGTCTGTTTCTGTCCAAAAGCAAATCAAGTGATTCAGCAGGACAAAAGTAGATGTCGCAGAAGAATGTACCAGGTTTGTTCTGTGTGTTTGCAGTTGACATCTTACTTGTTGGTGGGCCAAGTGAGGTGTCACAAGGGGCTGCCACTGTTGCATGACTGAGGGGCACCACAGAAATTTCTTTTTTTGAACTTCCTGGTCCTTAGGAGTGTAAAAGAATGGACAGTCCTTTGTGTGTGTGTGTGTGTGTGTGAGAGAGAGAGAGCGCGAGAGGGCTGATAAGTTGGGACCTCTTAGGGAGCATTATAGTAGTTAACATTGAATTATGATAGGTTTTAGAGATTTTTTTGTAAATAAGTACAGTGGGCCCTTGACTTACAAACTCAATTCATTTGTGGGGCTGGGTGTAACTCAAGTTGATTGTAAGTCAAGACTACTCATAATGCATTTTGAAGGCACCCCTTATCTAACCTTTTCATAATAAAGAGTTGTATAATATGGGTAATATAACAGAAACACCAATAACTTTCCTAGTATACTCACCAAAAAGTTATAGAATGTGCCTAGTTTACCAGAAACAACAGGTTTTTTTTGGGGTGTTTCCGGTACTGGGAATTGAACTCATGACTTCACGCTTGCCAGGCAGGCGCTGTGCCGCTGAGCTAAATCCTCAGCCCCAAAGATTTCTTTTTTTATGAAATTTCTTTCTTCTTTTGTTTTTTTGGTACTGGGAATCAAACTCAGGACCTTGCACTTGCCAGGCAGATGCTTGTGCCACTGAGCTATCTCCCCGGCCCAGAAACAACAATTTCATATTGTACTGTTGGCAACTTTGGCTTGAAGACGGGACGATGAAATGGAAGGTGGTTATAGTTTGGAAGGAGCCTCCCCTTCCATAAGAATACCAGGAACCTGGCTCTTTGTGTCCTCTCTCTCCTTGGGAGGGTCTGTAGCCCACTGGGACCTGCTTCTGGCTCACTAGGTTTTAACCTTGTCAGAACTAAAAACTGGTCTGAGGTTGTCTGTTTCTGTCTTTCCTTTAACATAGTAACTGCTTTCTTTATGTCCCCTTCCTTCCTTTGCTTCTTTTGTACCTTTTTTGAGACCATTTTGATAGCAGTAATCTTAATGATTATATAAAGCACTGACCGAAATCACATACACAAACACGCTCATCTGGCTTCAGACTGACACTCCTGTACACTTACATGTGCTTTTCTGGCATCCAAGTCTTTCGTTTAAAACTGCACAAGCGGCCAGCACTCAGGTCGTAACTCAGGACCTTGGTTGCAAGTGAAATCTACAATTCTGGTGGTAAGGCTGGTTGTAACTTGAGGGTTCACTATAACTAAAATTTTAAAAAAGACCTCTGATAAGAAACATGAATTCAGAAAGGTATATTTTAAGAAATTATTTGCAAAACTTTTGATCCATGCTGAATTGTCTCTGTAATTGGTGACTTGAAAAACTCGCGACAACCTTAAGTGGAGCTTTTAGTTACATACAATCTTTTCTGTGCGATCATCTGATTTTGTTATTTTCATACGGTGATTCCAAAGGTATTTTCTTCATTTATTAACCTTCTGTAACTAGGGCAGTTTTGAATCTTTAAAAATAGTATTATTTTTATATCAAATAGTATTGTGGTTATATCATCTTGCTTATACGTTGCATAAAATAATTTTTGTAGACCATGGAACTAGAGTATGAGCCTTATGGTCCTACAGGTATTTTGAGATACAGTTCATTTTAAGACATGCTTTGTACATAATTTGTGGTGGTTATAGAACATTTTCCAAGATGACATAAAACATAATTCAGGTGGTACATTGTAAATATAATTTCTGAACCAATGTGCAAATTACCTTCCTTTGGTGATTTTCCAATTAAAATTAACTTATGGCCAGTCACTACATTGTTCACGTCCTGATTACAAATCCATATCAAAAATAAATTAAATACACTTTTCTTTCTTCATTGATTTTAATTTAAAACTTAATTCATTTAATGCTGCACAAAGTTACAGATTTCAAAAGTGTGATAAATCTGTTTGAATTATATTATGAAAGTGTTTCCATGAGTTTTGCATTTGGTAACTGCCCAGTGTGCCTCACTGTCTGTGTGTGTAAGATTTATGCTAAGATTGTATTTGTAGGCGTGACCTTTACTTTAGTGTGGCACTTTCCATTCACTACTATTTTATTTTGTATTTAGTATTATAAGTAGTAGCCATAAGCAGAGGACTGCATCCAATGACCGTGTAGGGCAAAGCTGTGCCTTTAATTTTTATTGTGGAAAATGATAGTATTTCTGATCCTTCTATAGTCAAGCAATTTTTTTGTTTTTCTCTTTTAAAAAAAAATTTAGGTGCAGGTGGTTAAGAATGTACTACGTTTAGCATATGGTTGCTTACACTCCAGTGGCTCCTGACTGAATTTTTTAAATGCATTGTTGCCTCACATACCCTGTGATGGAGTAAATAAAGGCTTATTTGTTCTGTGTTGGTACACTCTTGTAGTTTCAGCACTTGGGAGGCTGAAGCAGAAAGATTGTAAGTTGGAGGCCAGCCTGGGCTACATGGTGAGCCCTAGTCTCACAAAAACTGAAAAAGAAAAAAACAAAACCCCCCACTCAACCAAAATTTAAATTTTAAACAATATTCCAGGGAAATTCTTTACATAAAATTAAAATGGTTTATGATTAGTTAGTGAGTGGTGGTGATTTTATTTCATTGGTCACATTCTTGAGACGGTTGTGTGTAGTGAGCCATTCAGGGACATAGTCACATTTTTAGCAGTGACCCCTTCATTTTGGCCATGGAGGAGCATTTGTGGTTCTTCCCACACTACTCACGTGCATCGCATGTGTTTTCCTGGTGCCCTCCCTGTTCCTCTGTGCCCTTCCACCGTGAGTCTCTGTCTTTTCCCCTTTCTGTCCTCTAGGTGTCTTCTTGTTTTTCTCTCCTGTGAGGAAGATAATCTGCTCTCTAGGGAAGTGACAGTCAGGGCACTGAGCACACACATTTTCGTTTCTGTAGCCTCTATCACCAAGCTAATGAGGGTGTGCCTTAGAGAGAGCTGCAGGCGCGAAGTCAGTCTTGGTGCGTTCTGTACCGTTGAAGGGAAGGGTTGCTGCATGTTCAGCTTACTCACAGAGATGCCCCTCAGAATGCTTCTGCCATACAGGCTGTGAGGCAGGTTCCCAAGCATCTGATGGGTGCCACCCAAAAAGTTACTTCAGTTAATAGCAGTCTTCTAAAAATATATTTTTATTTTTAATTGACAGAAATTGTATGTATTTATGTATGACATTTCACTACATGAATACCATGTGTAATGATCAGATAAAGGTAATTGGCATTTTTATCACCTTAAATATATCATTCCTCATGTTGGGAACATTCAAAATCCTTTCTACTAATTATTTTGAAAGATTGAGTTAGTTGCTGTCAACTGATTATCCTACTGTGCTGTACATTAGTAGCAGTTTTAAGTTGATTAGAAATGAAGAAAGGTGAGAAGCTGCTAGAATTGTTCTGTATGCTGGGCACTTGCATGAGTGCTTCTGGGTCAGTTGTAGGAGTCAGATGCGAGGCGCCACTGTTACAGTGCACGCTTACGTTCACAGCCTGTTCTATATTTCGTCCATGTAGCAGGTGTTAGGCAGATTGAATCCAAATATGATTCCAGTTAAAACTGATTGCTAAAGTTTAGTAATTTTATATGTTGCAAAAGCAACTCTTGGTAAATCCTCTGTAAGGAAATTTACACTTTGGTGATATAAACATGAATCATTTAATTTTTAGGAATTCTGATTTTGATTTTTAGTGCTCAGGGTTTTTGGTAGTGAGCTCATCCATATGTGCACAGAGCGGCCCTTCTACAGGAACACTAAAACTTGAGGGTTATGTATTCGTGCGTACTCTCTTACCTTTGCTCTTAATTCACCCGCTGCTGTTTGTGTGTATTTTTTTCTATTTAGGTTTTTTCCCAAGTAGCTCCCAGGGGTGTGATGCATTTCTTCGCCACAAGATGACACTGATTTCTCCATCAGTATTGAAGAAATACGGGATTCCTTTTGATAAGGTACTTTCATATTACTCTTTCAAAAACTGACTTCTTGTTCGTATAATTTGTATTTAAGACAAATTTAGCATAAGGCCATATGCCTTTGACTTTAGGATGTATTTTTAGGATGGGCAGAGAAATTCAAGTTCATGTTTTGTAACATTTATCTACATCTTAATTTCAAGTAAGTTCAAGATGTATTTACTAAAGATTTGTATAGTTCACTCAGTAGTGAAAAATGTAGCACATTCTACAAAGTAAGAGTTAATGCTTCTACATTAAACATTATATACGAGTGTTACGTTGTTCATATTGTGTCAACTTGAGAAGTTTAGAATGGTAACTTAAGTGACTCAGCAGGGAGTCAGGGTGCTTACTTTGTACTCATCCTGAGCCTGTGCAGGAGGAGGGCGCCGAGAGATTATGTGAGTGCTACATGCCCCCTGGGTGGGGAGAGCCTGCTTACAATATAAGGGAGGGAAAGAGGCTTGTTTCCCCTCCCATCTTGCTCTTACTGCTTTTGCTATCTTCTGCCACCTTGAAGTGTTGCCCCTGTGCCCTGCCACCCTGCCTTGGAGCCAGCTGAGTACGGACTGAAACCTCCACAGACTGTGAGCTAAATAAACCTTTCCGTCCTAAATTTTGGGTGTTGGGTATTTTGTCTCAGCAATGAGAGAAAAGTAACCAAGACAGAATTTAGTACCAGAGAAGTGGGGTCATTGCTGTGATAATACCTGATCATGTGGTTCAAGAGCTTTTGGGAATGGCTTGTGGGAAGTGTTTGGAAAGGCTTGGAGATGTCATCTGAAAGAAAAGTGCTAGAATGCCTTCGGCTATTCTGTATGGGAGATTCTGGTCAGAGACCAGAAGGCTGATAGAAATCCTGCCCATAAAGACCAGGTACAGGAGGTTTCTGCTGGGAAGAAAGATTGCACTGGGTGCTGGACTGCAGATGATATGGGTTATGGCTTGGCAGAAAGTTTGTCTGCATTTTGCTCATGTCCAGAGACTGCTTGAGACTGAGATTAAGGGCGGCAGCCTGATTAATCTGGTGAAAGAAATTTCAAGGCAGTTGAATGTTGAGGCTGTGGCATGGCTATTGTTGGGGGCTTTTAGCCAGATGTGTTGTGAATCAAGAGCAAAGAGCCCAGCAGGGTGATTTAAAATGTTGAGTTTGGCCAGAAAAGAAGCTACAGTAAAGCTGTAGACTGTAAAGATAGAGCAGAAGAGATCTTGGTTGCTGAGGAAGAACAAGAGACTCAAAAAGATGGCCTGAGGGTATCACAAGAAGCAGCAAATCTCCACCCTTTGCAGCCTCAAAACTGCAAAGGTAGAAGACTTTACTTTGAGAACAAAGTCACAGAGCGCCATGTTCCAGAATGGCAGTGACGGCCACACCAGCTTCCAGAATGAAGGCATCATAGAGAATTTGTTCCTCAGAATCAGGTTCAGAGTGTTCAGTGATTGAGGCACTTGATCCTTACAGCCAGGACAGAAGGAAGCCTGGCTACTGCACCACCTGGCAGCAGACCTTGCCATCATCCATATGGTGCTGGTTTTAGGCACATGCAGAATGCAAGAGTTCTGAGGTTAAAGAGACTTCCATCTAGATTTCAGAAGGCCTGGGAGGCCAGGCAGTGTGCCCGCTAGAGGGCAGCATGTGAAGCTGTGAGTGTGAAGCAAAAGGTGCACTGGAAACTGCAGAGGTTTGGAAAAGCCAAGAATGTGGATTGTCTGAGGAAAGGTGCAAGGAGGGAGCAAAGTGGGCCCAAGAGAGAAGCTGTGGGAGCTAAAACTACCAGAAGTACTATGGGGTGGAGCGAGCCATCCAAGCCCTTTGGAGCTCACAATGTGCCACAGATTGCCTCAGATGCTGGACATGGAACTACAGGACTTAATGTTTGCCCTGCTGGATTTTGGATTTCCTTGGTCCCATTCCTTTGTATTCCCCTGTTTGTAACTTTTGGAATGAAAAATGTTTATTTTGCACCATTGAATGTTGGAAGTGTTTGACTTTTCATTTGTATAGGTGCTTATAACTAAGAGTTTGCCTTGTATCTCTGAGGAGACTTGGGACTTGTACTTTCTAGCAATGCTGAAATTGTTAGGACTTTGGCAACTCTTGCAGATGGACAAAATGCCTTTTGTATAAAGGGATGTGCATGAGTCTTTGGGGGGTGAAATGTTATGTTCTAATGTAACATAATGTTGATAGACTGAATACTGGTTCTTAAGGATTGTTAAACCTGTGTTATAATGTTCTAGTTGTGAAATGATAATAATGTGTTTGTATCTGGAAATTGCTTTAAAGAAATACCTCTGGTTGACAAGGGGTGGAATGTTATGGTTGATACATTGTGTCAACTTGAGTTGCCCAGGGGCTTGGCTAAGTGACTCAGCGGCTGTCCATCCTGGGATGAAACGGACATGCCCTTCCTGTGCTAGGATATTGTTCATTGTGTTAATGTGAGAAGTTTAGAAGGTTAACTAAGTGACTCAGCAGGGAGCCAGGGTCCGTCCTTTGCATCATCCTGAGCCTGTGCAAGAGGAGGGCATGGAGATGATGTGAGTGCTACACGCCCCTGGGTAGGGGAAGCCTGCTTACAATATAAGGGAGGGAAAGAGGCTTGCGCCCCCTCCCCCCCCACAACTTTTGCTCTTGCTACTTTTGCTGTCTTGTACTGCCTTGAAGTGTTGCCCCTGTGCCCTGCCACCCTACCTTGGAGCCAGCTGATTATAGACTGAAACCTCCACAAACTATAAGCTAAATAAACCTTCCCTTCCTTAATTCTGGACGTTGGGTATTTTCTTTCAGCAAAGAGAGCAAAGTAACTAAGACAATGAGTCATATAATTGACACTCTCCATTAAAAAGAAAAAAGGACTTAGCACAATTATTTTAGCCGTTAGGTCAGTTAGTGATTGCGGCCTGGTGTGCTGGGACACATCTGTGATGCTGGCATTCTGGAGCCTGCAGAAGAAGGATTGCAAATTCAGCCCAGCCTGGGCAGCTTAGTGAGACCCTGTCTTAAAGTAAAAATAAAGAAAGGGTTAGGGATGTAACTCAGTGTGAAAGTCCTAGGTTTAATCCCCAGTACCATGAACAAAAAAAGTATTAGTGATTGTCATTTCTAAAGACATTTGGACATACTGCAGCTGTAGTTTTATTATGGAATAAAATTTTCTGATAATTTACTAATCCTATATTGCTAATCCTATATTTACTATCCTATGAAGTTTTTCTGAAAATTCAGTTTTATAAAACTCAGTAGGTACTACAACCCATGTTCTTTGTGTCCATAGCAGTTCCTGGGCCCAGAATTACTACAGAGCTTGAACTTTTTGTAAAGAAGCTGAAATGAAAAAAGCTTTTGACCAGATAAACAAGAGCACTCTCTCAGTCTCAAGGAGATTAAGTACTTAGCTGCTTGCTAAAACATTAAAAATAGCTTCGCTTTTTTACCCCACCCCTTCCCGCCAATCCTTGCTGTTTGCCACCTTAGAAGCTTTTCTCTTGGGTCTGAGTCATTACACCTTAACCTTAGGTCAGTAATGTGGTCTTCTGGGTAGAGGGCTTTGTTCACAGTAGGGCTTTTCCAGGTGTCAGGAATTGTTCCTCAGCTTGAGCCAGTTCCCGTTCCCTCACAGAGTGCCCATGCAGTGGCCAGGCAGGGCACATGCTGTGCTTGTGAGGAGCGTGTTTCACCCGCACACTTGTGTCCATGGAAAATCCGGCGTGCAAGCTGTGCACTGTGCGGAGCCCGGGTTGGCGGAGATGGGCTACAGTACCAGTAGGCACGCTGCAGCGGGCTTTTCCTTACTTGCTGACCACTCTGCACACCAGGCTTTGTGAGTCTCAGACACATCATCATCAAATGTTTCTTTCATGTGGTGGGTGTTAGCGTTCGTGGGCATTTCTGCTTAAGATGGGATAATAGAGGGCAATTTAGACAAAACCTGTTTTGCCTGCCAGAAGGAGCGGACTAGTGTTCCCCAGGACAAGAAAACCTTCTCTTTTGGTTAGAGCTGGTTTGGATATTGACTGTAGTTTTAGAGGTGGTTTTAGGAGAGTGGGTTAGGAGAAGCAGTGGATCCCCAGGATGGAGGCTTTTGAGCTTGAAGCTCTTTTTAAGTCCTCAGGAGGGGGCAGGTGCTGTCCTGTGTCCCTGTTCTGGGCTGCCACACCCCAAATATGTCGTGGTGGTTATCACCGGGTATGTCAGGCTCTCATCTAGGCTCTTGTGGATGGGATATTTTTGGTTTCTGTGGGAAGTGACGGTGTAAGTTTTCCATCTGAGACGGGAGACACCAGTGACTTAGAGGGCCACTTGGCAGTGGCACTTCTTCCTGTCAAGTACGCCTACTTTTTCCCACGCTGATGCAGAGCACTGTGCGCGTGTCAAGAAACACCCTCTGATGGTGGTCCTGTAACATGCGACAGTACACGGCAGCACAGACTGTGGGATACACCTCTGGAGTTCATGTCTCGTTGGTACCATGTAATTTTTCTAGGTCTTACTTTCTTCATCTTAAAGTGGAGATAATAATAATGACAGCTGCCAGGTATGGTGGCACACATAATCTCAGCACTTAGGAGGCTCAGGCAGGAAGATTGCCGAAAGTTTGAGGCCAGTTTGGGCTACACAGTGAGTTCAAGGCCAGCCTGAATTACAGTCTGTCTTAAAAAGCAATGCAAAGTGATGCAAAGCAAACCATATTAAACCAAATGAAACCAAACCACAACAAAGAGAAACTACTTAGCAAGATAAACAGATAAAACAGATTATCTGAAAACAGATAATCTAAAGAAAGGGCTTTGCATAGTATATGTTATCTTTCTCTTTAACTCAGTGCTTTTCCTTTGGGTAATCATTTCCTGGAGTGCATTTTGTCCTTCTCTCAATGTATTTGTCTGTATTCGTTCATATGTATAATATGAAAACATTTGTAACAGACAACCAATGTGTGCTTTTAAATTGTTTACATTTTTCCACCTTCTTTCATAATGTGAGAGTAAGA